GATCTGCTTCTGGATGGCACTCTGTCGCGTCCTCTGGTCGCCTTTGCTGTTCACGGCGGGGCCCCTGCGGTCTGGGCTCTGGTCGTCGGCGGCGGTTTGCTGTTCACGGCGGGGCCTCCTGCGGTCTGAGCTCTGGTCGACGGCGGTTGCAGTGGTGTTGGGAAGTGAGTGAGCCGGGGTTGGGCTGGGACTCCGGAAGCTGTGGCAGTCCGGTTACGGCAACCGGAGTTGAGGGTATGATCCGTCCTCTCCCTCGTTGGCTAGTGGTGTTAGACGGCGGGAACTCGAGCTCATCTCATCTAGTGGTGTTAGATGGTTTCGGGCCGGGCTTGGTGTGAGGGCGGATTGTTCTCCTCTCGGTAGGTTATGGGTCGATTTGAGTTTGGTTCGGGCTCGACGTTGGCTATTGTATAGGCGGTTGCGCAGTTTCGGTAGTGGTTCTTCGGGCTTGGAGTCTCTCTCGTGTCGATTGTTCACTGTTGGTTGGGTAGGTTCGATTGCAGTGGAAGGGCTTTGTATGTGGTAGTTTGTAGTTCTCGTTTTGAATAGAGTTGTGAGCTTTGTTTAGTGTTAGTTTATGTGTTGTTTAGTGTTTTAGGTTTGGGCCGTTGGCCCCGGTACATCCGAGTGTCATTTTCATTACCCTGTGGGGGTCCGACACTCGGGAATTACCCTGTGGGGGTCCTGTGTTTTTTATTGTGTTTAGTTGTTTTGGGTTTCTTTTGTTTCTAGAGTATTACCCCGTTGGGGTCGGTTCTAGGCGGTCTCAGTTTTTAGCTGGTGGCTGCTTGTATTCAGTTGTTGACTGCTTGTAATCAGCCGGTGGCTGCTTTATGCACAGTTGTGCGTTATATATATTACCTCTATCGTTTCGTAAAAAAAAAAAAAAATCAATTCTTCCAATCTTATTGAATAATTTTTTCTTTCAAAAAAATTGTGTAAATTGGATAAAGCCACATGCAATTTTTATTTTAAAATAAAACTGATATTTGGACGGAATGTACATTCAAAATTGTGTCCACATTTTTTGGTAACAAAAGCGGTTCATCATTGATATTTAAAGTCACCTTATCCAATTATTTAGGAAAAATTGTGTGCAACTTTTCAAAATTTAAATACATCGATTTTCTTGGATTCTTATGTTTTTTCTTAACCATGTTTTACCGAGATTTTGGTAAGTTCATATCACTTTTTTTTTTTGTTAAGTTCATATCATTTTCTTTAGGAAAGAGATAGTTTCATAAACATTAACAATTTATTTTAATTTTTTATTAGAATTATTTTCAATTCAATTTGTTTGGTACAAAAATTGGTGCAATGTTAAGAAAATTCGGTTGCATTTTTAGGAAAATTGATGATTTTTTTATTTGATTTAAAAAAAAAAATTCGGACCAATCTGTTTGATAAAAAAATCGGTTTATTGGTAGGAAAATCGGTTTCATTTCCAGGAGTAACTAATGATTCTTTTCAATTTTTCTTAATTGAAATTTAGAATTAGATTTAAAATAAATAATGGGTGAAAATCTCTAAAAAATTCTACTTTTTTTCTACTTTAATTTTGTTTAATAAATAAGATCCTTTAATTATTTTAAAATTTGTTAACTAATAACTAATAATATGCAATTTTGGATAAATTCGAACACCTATGTAGTACTTTACGTGTCAAAGAATCAAATCAATAATGTTGTACATAAGGAAGTGTTTAATAACATATAAATTTCATTTTCATGAAATATTTAATGGCATTAAACAATTTAAATACAAAAATACCTTTTAAAAAATAAATAGATAATAAATGTTCCCGTGCATCGCACGGGATTCATACTAGTATATATAATATAAGATGGTAAGTAGTGTAAGTATTAGTGCCATTTTAAATATAAATAATAATATATTTTTTTAAAAACTATTTAAACACTAAAAAAAATATTATTATTATTTAATTTAAAACATATTTTTCTTAATAAGTACTCGTGTAGCACCCGGCTATTGTACTAGTACAAAAATATAGTTCACTGGACTAACATAGTTCATTGGATTAACATTTGTGCATTGAATCATGGATAGAAGTCAACACTATATATTTATTGGACAACACCACAACTATTGGGTGCAGTAAGGAGATTTAAAGATGAGATCAACATAGATTTGATGTTCAAGAAAAACCAAGTTATAATAGATTCTTATTTTACTAAGTTGTCTTAAGAATTTCCAAGTGCATCATATATATATATGGATTATTTTTAATTATTATTAATTTATAGTTTCGTCGGGACCAATATATATATTGGGATCTCAAAAAAATTATTCCTATAATTTTATTGATTGAGTCCCAAATTTTTACTGGTCCCAACGTGGGACTGGACAAATTATTAGTTTTAGTGAGGTTATTAATTTATCGAGTATTAATTTAACGCGGTTTTACTGTATAATATATATTTTATTTATCCGTATAAGAATAAAATTTTACTTACATGCCATTATATTTATATATTTACAATTATAAAATAGCTACTTCATTCACATCATCATAAAAATATTATATATATGAATTAGTTTATTTATTGTTACCTAATATATTTATACGCAGTAATAAAACTATTCCTTGACAAATTATATGACTTAAATTTTTGTTGCTAGCTAGTTTCATATGTTGTTTTCGATCAGTTGCCCTCTGGTTCGGCTCAGTTGTTTTCGCTGTGAAAGGGTAAGTTTGTTTATTTTGTTGTTTTATTGTTCTGTGTGGGTTTAGGTTTTTTGTTTGTTTAGGTCTCTTTTTCATGTGCCCGAGCGTGAGCGAGCATTATCCTGTTGGAAATGTTTTAGTCTCATGTTTGAGAGTTAGTAGTTTTTCTGTTTAGTGTTGTCGTGAGTATTTCTTCTAGTGTTGCTATGTTAGGCTCTAGGCGATTTTCAGATCTGTCCTCGCAGTCTTTTCAGCTTTTGGTTTTATTTTTCGCACTTTGTGAGGTATTATTTATATATTAACTCTATCATTTCGAACAAACAAAAAGAATAGTTTCATATGTTAATTTTGTTCTATATAAATGTGTAAGAAATAGTAGAAACATATTTGTCGGAAACCAATCATCAGTATCATACAAGAACAGAGAAATAGTTCGCAAATAAATAATCTACCACAAAACAAGTTTTTCTTACGTGCCCAACAATAGTAAGATCACGAAATAACAAGCAAATGATTGTAAGACAAACATGTCTAGCCCTCCTCTTTTGTTTCCTCGCTCTCTGCAGCCAGCTCGATCTTCGCCTTGGCAACCTCTAACACGGGTTCCCACTAGGGATGGTTGTCAAGAAGTTACTGGTCACAGTTCCACCCCTCAGGGTCTGGAAGTCCCCTGTTTAAAGCGGCCTCATCCTAAATATCGGTGAACCCTTGGGCTGCAGCTTGAGGTTGGGTGCGCTCAATCGCATCCTTGAAGTACTGCTGACAGGCCGGGAAGATCCAGGTTAGGAACTGGGTGGAGTATTGGAAGAACGTCAGCAATTTGGTGCGGTAGTGGTTGATAAACCTCGCGCCAGGGATCGAGGAGAGAAAAGAGAGTTGGCATTCCTCATGGGCCTGGGTGATTTGTTGATCCACAGGGAGGCGGAGCGCACCGAGCTCGGCGTCTTTGGCAGCGACCTGAGCTTTTACCTCAGTCTTTTGTAACATCAGTTGAGTGATAAGTTTCTCCACCTCCTCTTTTTGGAGGTCGAAGGCCTCCTGCAGACTAGAGTGTTGGGTCTTGTCCTTCTCCACCACCTCCTTGAGCTCGTCCACCTCGATTGAGTCCCGTCAAGGGAATCGTGGAGCATGGGTGCCCATCCAGTCATGGCCTGCAAGAAAATAAGAGTTTAGGGCCATATTTGCTAGGTCAGGTAAAGATTTGCGTTAAAAATAAATAAATAAATAAATAAAAATGAAGAGGGGTACCAAGACAAAGTGGTAGATAGTATCCGCATGTGGTTTTTTTTTAGTTTCCCATTGAGAGGTTTCGCCCTCAGGGAAAATGGATAGAAGGTAGGATTTGGCGACCTCGACGTTGCGGTTGCTAGCAATGGACTTTTGTTGCTCTAGGGTCGAAGCCAAACAGGTTTTTTGCTCGACAGCCTTATCTCCCTTCGCTGGGGAAGTCTCTTTCTTCTTATGGCCTAGCTTCTGACGTTTGGCCGAGGAAGTCTTTTGGGGGACTTGCAATAGAGAGATGTTTAGCTTGGGAACCCAGAGCTTCTAGGTCGAAACCTAGTGTGGTTGTTGGTCGGCCGACGCCTGAGCTTCTTTAGTCTGGGGGGTCGGGCTAACAGCGACCATGTTGAACAAAGATTCTGCATGAGCGCGGTGAACAGCGGTTAAACCAATATGTGGGCTTGTAAAGTGCGGTAGGTAGATAAAATAAATAAGGAAGGAATGCAACAAAATGGTATCCTCAATGCCTACCTATGTTAGTCACATGTTTGGCCACACAATTAGAGAGCTTGAAGTGCAAAAAGAGCTGCAGATTCGAGGTTCGTTTTACCATGTGGAGGGGTCGTTTGTTCTATTGTTTGATTAGGGCGTCGTACTCGGCATTTGGTTTGGGGTTTTTGCGTTGATCGGGTAACTCATGTAGCCACTCCGGAGAAAAGTTGAAGGTGTTGGGTGGAGGTCGGACGAAATATAACTTGCCTTTCTAATTGTGAAACTTAGATTTAAGCTTTTTTCAGGAAGTTGTGCCATTGCGGCTCAAGAGGTAGTATGAACCCCTCTTGGTTTTCATCCAAAGGTAGTAAAAACATAGGTCAGGGTCAATCCTACCAAGACGAGCTCGGCATACCATAATAAAGCCTACAAGGATCCTAATAGAATTGAGAGCAAAGTGGTTTAGCGGCGGACAGTATAGCCGCTTAGTTCTGTGAGGTCGTCACAGAGGGATAATTTTAACTCGGCCTCGGCTTGGTTGAGGAAGAAGGTGTAATAGCCAGGGGAAGGTTGGTAATAAGTGTCTCTGGCGCGGGGAATTTTAAGATCTCAACCCCGAGGTAGCTCGACACTCGTAGAGCAGGTTGGTAACTTGGTCGGTTGAGTAAGCGAATAGGGGGTTAGGTCGCACTATCATAATTAAAGGAGAGACATTCCCTTGGCCTTGGCGCCTGCGACCACCGTAACCTGGTTGGTTGCGCCTGACGGGCCAAGAAGGGATAGGGTCACCGAGGGCTCCCCTGAGGGTTCTGAGTTTGAAAGAGAAGAGGTTCTTGAGTTAGTCATGGAGGTGAGATGTTTTAATAAAATAGAAGAAATGCGTAAATCAAAACAGGCAAGGTGCACAATGACAATGGTTAACGAGGAATTTAGAGGTACATACCCATAGAGCGTGGTGGACAAGCTCTTAGTAGCATGGGCGCCTAACTGGTTCTACACGACCTCGAGGACATGTTAGGTCAGTGATACATGTTAGCTTAACCTCGGTGACTATGTAGCTCGGAGCGCGGCAAGATTGAGGGGTAGAATGACGATCTCAGGATTCCTAATCGGGTGACGACCTCAGAACCTTCGGGTCTGGCGACGACCTTGGGACCCTCGGGTCTAGTGACGACCTCCATGGTTGTGAAATCCAGAAAAGCCTAACTAGGAGGAGACCGAATCCCTTAAATATGGGAAGTATACATCATCTAGAAGTCTGAAGATACGAGAAGGTACGATTAGCTAAGAAGGACGATACGAAAAGAGTTCTTATCCTACTAGAAGTCCCTGGGACAGCCTACAACCTTGACTATAAAAGGGGATACAAGTCATTATTTTTACACAACACACATACACACGCAAAATATATTGTTGCCATATTATCGTTGAACACGACTGACTTAAGCGTCAGAGCCTTTTTTGCCGGGATGCCCCCCGATATTTTGCAGGTCATCAGAGACGTCGAAGTGGTTTGAATCAACAAATACAGTCCAGATTGAATTGGAGGGCGAGTTGCGCAACAAAATACACATAATATTAGTCCACCACATATGTTTTGATTACATGCATTATGTAAAACGTATTTTATGATTCGGTAGAAGTCGCGACGTGTTTAAAAAACACGATTAAAAAAATAAATAATACGACGAATACATAATAATATAGCACGATCTAACACAATACCATAAATAAGAAATAAAATACTTAATAAAATAAAATTATTATTATTATTTACTATCCAATAAAATAAGTAATAAGAAATACGACACGTGAGGCTATGATTGATGCTCAAAAAACCAAAATACAAGGCGTGGCGTATATACAGGGTTCGCTGAAATACTATAGACTATTCGTCCCACCAACAGAAAGAGGAGAACAAAAAGAGAATTTTTTTAGAAAAACGACAATTTCTTCACTGTTAATTCTCATCTGCAACTTTGATTCCCCGGAAGAAAAACAGCGTTTTGCAGTGTTTTAAGCAGCTGAAGATTATTGGGGATCAGTGTTCAAATATATAGAAAGAAAAAAGACAATGTGAGAGATGAAGAAACCTCGCAGTGTCGGACCCAAGAACAAAGCGAATCTCAAATTGGGCCGAAATCTGGCCAATAGCCTCGATCCTGACAGCAAATTGACGAGCAGAAACTTGTGCAAAATCTCTGTTCCACTGTTCTTTTTGTTTTGGTGCGGCGTCGTTTTGTTTCATGCTAATCTCACTCGTGGAAATGAAGGTACATGTCCAATTTCCATTCTTTTTCTCAGTCCGGTTCATTTTCTTGTTTTTTCCATACCAATCTTTCCTTTCTTTGCCCAGTTTCTTGACTCGCTCTATTGTTTTCCCTTTATTGTGTGATGCTGTGTGTTGTGGAAATTCAGGCCTTTCGTTAAGTAGTGTTGGTTGAGTTAATGGGGGGACTCTTCTTTTTTAAGCTTTATCTGTTTATGGTTGGTCCTATTATTATTGGTGATGAAATCTCTAATCTATCTCATGGATTGTAATTAATTTGATGAAATAACCCTTTTTCGGTAAGTTTCTTCAAATTTAACCAGTTGGGCCAATTACTGTTGTAACTTCTGAACGAAAATGAGTACAAGATTTATGTATCATTAAATGAATGCGAAATCATTATGGCAATTGAACTTCAGCAGTTAATTACTTTCAAGTGGAAAGTCCCTTTTTACTTGATTATGGTTCGATAATCTTTCTTTCTGTCTTGGTTGCCATGTATATTTTTCAGGGGATTTGCTTGCCTACAACGGGACTAAATCAGACCCGGGTTTTCGTGACAAAAAGCTACTCAACCATACCATCTCAGTTGCAAAAACTGAACAAGAGAATAAAACCAGTCGAATAATGACGGACCCAAACGTGTCTCATATTACTAACAGCTCCACCGAGCTAAATATCCTTTCAAACCAAGAACACTCGATTATGGTAACAAGTCGACTGCAAGAACTGATATCTGTCTTCTTTGGCCACGATCCGTACACATGCCCAGTAACAACACAAGAAAACGGGCTCGAAGCCGAACCCGAAACGCACCAAAACGGGAGAATCCATCTTACTTACCCGAACCTCGACGACTTCAAGCACATCTCGAGACAGGAAAAACCCGATACTTCCCGCCAGCTCGTCAACATCACCCACAGGCTTGAGCCTGACGGCACCCCTTACAACTATGCCTCGGCTTCGAAAGGTGCAAAAGTGGTGGCCCACAACCGAGAGTCCAAGGGAGCCAACAATGTTCTTGGCAAGGACCATGACAAGTACCTCAGGAACCCGTGCTCGGCCGAAGGCAAATTTTTCATAATCGAGCTCTCTGATGAAACCCTAGTGGATGCTGTCAAGATCGCAAATTTCGAGCATCATTCTTCTAATTTCAAGGAATTCGAGCTCTCGGGAAGTTTGGTCTACCCAGCCGAGACGTGGGACAGTTTGGGATCATTTGTGGCGGCGAACTCGAAGCACATGCAGTGCTTTAAGCTTCCCGAGCCAAAATGGGTCCGGTACTTGAGGGTGAATTTGCTGAGTCATTATGGTTCGGAATTCTATTGTACGTTGAGTGTGGTCGAGGTTTATGGGGTCGATGCCATCGAGCAGATGCTCGAGGATCTTATTGTCCCGTCTGGAGAGGCCAATACAAACTCGACTGCAATTCCTGCTGTATTATCTGAAAACAGCACAAGTAAATCCGAAATTGATGAAACTTCTCGTAATTTTGTTGAGACAGTGAGTAAAGGGGTTGTGGGCAGTGTTGATGAAGGCCAAATGATTGGTTTGGATTTACCGAAGAAGGGTTCGGTGACGAGTGGTGTGTCCGAGCCATTGCCAAAGGCCAGACAGCACCCGAATAGCAGGTTGCATGCAGATGCCGCCTTAAAAGTAGTGTTGCAGAAGGTTCGGTCAATCGAGCTGAATATGGAGGTTCTCGAGGAGTATATAAAACAGCTTCACAAGAGAAGAGGAGATGTTTTGCCTGAGCTTGAGAAGGAGCTGACGAAGTTTAATGCCCTTCTGGAGAAGAGTAAATCGGAGTTGAAGAAACTTATGGAATGGAAGGAAATAATGGTATTTGTTACTTTTTTAATTAATTAAGCTTTTCGGCGATTTTGGAAATGTTGGGAAGTCTAGCATGTTATTTATTTATATACTGTTGTGTTTGTTCAGGCTAAGGGGATTCTTGAACTGGAGTCATGGAGACTTGCTGTGTCTACACAGATGGATCTTGTGGTTCGCCACAATAGCATGCTGAGGTTTGTTTTCAATTTCTTTGGACTAGTTGGGCTTGATTTATAAACTCTGTTAAGAAAACATAGGATTTTCTTTATTACATTTTTTTCCTGCCACCACAAAAGTTTAGTTGAGCTGTAGTTAGGAGATGAAGATAGTGCATCAATAAATTGAATAAACACCGATGGAAGTAATGCTTTTCTTTTTTTTATTTGGTGATGTTCTAACTGCAGAGTTGATTACAAACATAGTCGACCGAAAAGTAGGGAAAAAGAAGGTTCTATCGAAATTGGATCAGAACTACAAATATTGTACTCTCTAAAGTTATACCTTGCAAAAAAATTCTGATCCCTTAACTGAACATGTGTTGCAGAGTAGAGGTTGAAAAGGTTTTACATGATCAAGTGAGCCTGGAAAAGAAAGAGCTTGCAATTCTAACAGTGACTTTGACCTTTGCGTGCATTGCCATTTTCAAGATAATATCAGAAAGGGTGGTGAAGTTTTTCCGGGCCCCAACACCTGGTACAGTTTACCAGTCGAGCAGAGGATGGATTTTAATCTTCATATTCTGTAGTTTGACGATGCTAATCCCGGTGATTTATGATTAGTTTCCAAATCGTGTGTGTGTGTGTGTGTGTGTGTTGTGGAAATGTGAGAAAAGTTTATAGCTTTTGCAGGTCTACAGAATATGGTAAGAGGTCTAGATTTTTGTGTCAGAATGTGCATCTTAATGCCTATCCTCAGTATAACATGCGCTTTTGTGATCGGGTTGTATTGAGTTTCTCAGTGTAAAAGCCAAATACTCGTGTAGTTGAAATCCATGTTTTAAAAGTACCGGCCGGTATTACCGGTAATACCGGATACCGGTGGTTCGACCGGTACGGTTACACTTAAAATACCGTTTTGGCCAAAATACCGGTTTATACCGGTTTTACCGGCCAAAATACCGGTCAAAATACCGGTTTATGTCATTTTTTTTAAAAAAAATAATTTTTAATATATTTTCATTAATTTATTTATATAAATTGAAAGTTCTACACTTAATTTTAATATGTTTACATTGTTATTAGATGATATTTAATTTTACTATTAGTTAAAGTTAGTTTTGTACATCATTTATATTATAATAACAAATTAATTTAATATTTATTGAAACCGGTAAAATAGACGGTAATACCGGTCGAACCGGTTGAACCGCGTACCGTTGGCTCGTCCGATATGATAACTGGTACGGTATTTAAAACACTGGCTTGAAATGTTACTCGGCTTGTCTTGTGAATCTGTGATACATCATTTTTCCGTAGTTATTTTTTCGTGTTTACGTGGGATTTTCTTTGTCTCCCTTCTTGCGAAGAAAGTTCTATCCTATTTCTAAATTCTAACGGTAAAATAATAAATTCTAATTTGTAATATAATAATATCTAAATTCTGACATAATTTATATAATATATAAAAATTTGAATATTAGAAAAAAAATTGCGCGGCCTACTGGCAAAACCGGCCGTGCAAGGTGCGGCCAACTGGCAAAATCGACCGTGCATAGTGCAGTCAACCGGCGAAACTGGCCGTGCACAGTTATGGCCGATTTCGTCGGTCGGCCGGCGGGATTTTTTTTGTTCTTTTTAGTAAAAATGTCAGAAGTAAAATTGTCCAAAATGTGAACGTAATAATAAGGGGACACTAAACAGTAACACCCTATAAATATAGTGACTAGAGAACCTTTTACATCAAATTTGAGTAACTTTTGAAAGAGTTG